TACAGGATGGCGGCACTGAACGTACGACGTACACGTTTTCGTGTTGAAAACGTCGGCCGCAACCTCGCTAATTTCGTACATTTTGCTGTGAAATCTGTAAATAAAACTGTCCTAGGCGATATTTTTTAAACTGAATTTATCGTCTCAAAAGTACCGATAATGTCGGCACTTTATACAATGCGTATAAGATGATGCCACGACGTCGGATTGACGTCATTCGAATACGAATTCATTCCGATACTTTTTCTTGACCTTAAACGCATAAAGAGGACCATGCAACGCGAGAGCCGTTCGTATGATTTATTTATGGCAATAAATTTTATTCGAAACGAAAAACCGACTAAATATTTGTTTTGTCAAAAAATATGAATTATGTAAAGAAAGAGTAATACCTATATATTATATATTTCAAAATAGAAATTGTATTTGGATATCTTAATCCATTTATTATCGTAAAATCATTAAAAACAATTAAGATTCCATATCTTATATCTTCCGTTGTGGATAGAATTGTGGAGAATTATTTAAGAATATTAAAAATAAATCTGGACTATAAATTCATTTAAAATTAGAAGAAACAGAAGGCGAGAAAAATGCAACGAAAAACATGTTTCTTCTACTTGCAAATTTTAAATTATAGTACAAGTTGACCCCCCTATAACACTGTTGATTTTTCCATTTTATATGAATTCCGTGTTGTACGAGTCACTTAAATTTTACAAATATGTGAGTCGTTCACAGCCCGACTCACGTATTTGTAAAATCTAAGTGACTCGTAGAACATGGAATTCATATAAAACGGAATAATCAACAGTGTTATAGGGGGATCAACTGTATTTAAGAAATTTATTTTATAATCTTATAGGTAATTCAAACTTACCTAGTTTTAAAATTTAATATCAAACGTACTAAGAGAGGAATTCCTTAAACGAACCGAAATTAAAATATTTCGGTCCGTGGTAAGAATTATTTTACGCCGTTTGCCACAATCTTTTTTTTACAGAAATCCTATTCTTCCAATGAATATTTAACTGCGGATTTTATACTAGAATTGGTTTCGTTTGAATGAGTTGTCATTAGAGAGAAGCGAGGAGTAACGGGATATTACTCGACGAATCGATTACTTTTGATTCCTCCTTCGTGGAAATCGGTATTGAATGTATGCAACTGTGTCACTCGACTAATCATTTTGTCGATAAGCAAAAAGAAAATCAGAAAAAATTGCACTTTTATTCACGATATGCAACAATTTTTAACATTAATATATTTATTAAAAAATAAAGCATTTAATGTTCATATTTCATTGCTCGTCCATTTACTCGTATAAGGTCATATTTTTAATTGTACTTTATGGTCTTTTATTCAACGAGCATTATCGAATCTTGCTGGATCAACGTGAACATTGCTGGAAAATTGGAAAACATCGATTGAGGAAATAATAAAAAATATATCCACTTATTTTTTATTTAACAGGCTGCAATTTCTTCAAAATAAGTGGCTAGCATTCGTGAAGGAAAATATAGTGTTTATAAACTTTAATTACCGGCAATTATTATTTAATTACAATTTGCATCGAAAAATGGTTTGATTAAAGTAGTTTAGTATTATAATCAAAAGTTAAGTTTGAGAATTGTTTCGGTAACAAATATTATCGCTAACTTTCGTTAATTAGAAATACAAGTCGACCCCCCTATAACACTGTTGATAATTCCGTTTTATATGAATTCCATGTTGTACGAGTCACTTAGATTTTACAAATACGTGTGCCGGGCTGTGAACGGCTCGTGGATTTGTAAAATCTAAGTGACTCGTACAACATGGAATTCATATAAAACGGAAT